ATAAAGCATCGATTACGGGATAACAACGAGCTGTGACACTTCGAGATGACCTCTCTTTTTTTTGATGGTGCCCCCGCGATTGATTGTTCATGATGATGAGTTTCCTTAATCCGAAATTTTCAGCCTGAATGGTAATATCAAAGTAGCAAGATCACGAGGAAATTGACGTGCTTACGGTCCGTTAGGAGCGAGACGACGACGACGATAGCAGAACCGCTGCGTGTTCTGAGCGTGATCGGCGAACACAGCGTATTTCGGGAAATGCGTGTATATATCAGAAACTTGACGCGATACATGGGTTTCTACTCGGCAATCTCGTCATCGCCGAGATGCCTCGAGGCAAGGCAGACAAGGAGGAACGAGGCAGCATGACGACAGGGCCCACGTTCTCCGTTCCGTTGGCTCCGCGACGATTCACCCGGATCGTCTGCCAGGTGTCTGGAATGAGTCGCGGCGGTGGGGGAATTTACGCTTCGTCCACTTTAGCGCGAAAGCCTTTTCGTCAGCTTTTAGAGCTGAAAGACGACGCGGCGCGGCCAGGACTGACGTGGAAAGGATCCCACTGTGCTGAGGACATGAGCGGGTCGCTCTTGAGGCTTCCTCTTATAATTTTTCTCCAGAGAAGGAGCCCAGATGCGCAGTCTCCTGCGGGGCTCTGGGATCCGCAACACCCATTTTCCCGCACCCATTTTCCCGACTCTCGCAAACGTTTCCCCACATCGACCCCGGAGAACTCGGGAACGTATTGCCCCAATAATTTGCGCACACGTTGAACTGAGGCTAAACCTCTCTGTTTGAAAATAAGTCGTGATTCCCAGCAACCGAATCCAAGCGGAGAAGCCCCGAGCATCCTCTGAGGCTGCCGGGGCCGGATGAGAGAACTCCCGGATACGGCAAGGGAGTAAATATTCGTCCCGGGTAATTCGTCCAACGATTTCTTTCACTTGTTCTCTGGAAACGTTCCCGCTCGCCGTTCGACGCAAGCGATTGTCGCAGCAAATCGAATACGCCGCTTGTGTTATCGAGAACCACTGAATCGGGTACTTCATCCCTCGGTTTGATACGACCGAGCGACCGACCGGAGCGTTCGCCGTGCAGCGCGACGTCGGTCGTGTGCCTTCTCTTCGGAGAGCAGGGACGAGGGGAGAACATGCAAGAACGACTTACAAACAGATACACGAAAGAAGGGAGTCCGACAAGAAAAGTCTGCGGTGGGGTGACGCGAAGCTGACGTGATGTTCTGTTCGTGCTCGGCATTCCTATGAGATCCTATATGTATGCGTTTCACCCCTTGCGACCCCGAGCCTCTTGGAAGGATTGGAATTCTGAGCCTGCGTAGGCCGTCTCCAGTGAGAACGCAAGACCTCCAGACGAGTAGGAGGAGAGCGTCTGTACGGATGGAGGATTAGCGTTTCTTATGGACTGTTAAAACGATTCTCCGGGACCTAGTCTCGAGTAGGTTAAACTCGGCGACAAAAATCATCGTCCTCGCTTCGGAGTCTGCACCATGGATAGACGACTTGCCAATCTCGAACGATTCGATCGGTTTCGGAATCACGATGTACACCCAACAAGAGCTCAAGGACAGAGCGTTCGGGAAACTCGGAGGTCATTCGACATCTGGTTCGAAGCACCTACGCAATTCTGAGTCGAATGGAGCGAACAGCACCAGAGCAGATTCCGCGACCGTAACCAGCCACAGGAATCAAAGAAATCGCAGGTTGGCACACTTTCATCCGGAATCGAGAGGCAAAGTACGGGGAATTCCAATCCACGAGCTCTCACGGGAGAGTTCCCAGAGGAGGAAACTTTTTCCTGCGGTGAAGGCGGAAATCCGCAGTCTGAGCTCTACTCCTATCGGTAGAGCCTTTGTGTCGATCGGAACTTTGCATTGCCCCTGAGGGGATCTCCGCGAGACTCAGGAACTTCCCGCGAAGGGACACCTGCGCAGCAATCTGATCTCAAATCGATGCAGTTATGAGCAAATCTCGTGGCAACGCCTTCGATGCGGTGAGACACACTCAAAAGCAGAACCCACCCTGAGCGCTCCCAGGGAACGCGTTCAGAATGCTGATTAGACTGATTACGATCGGAGTCGACGTGGGTATGGAACTAATCGATCGATGAGAGGCTCTGTTGCGGCTCCGCGTGCGAAGCCGAACCTTGACAATAATCCTGGACCCCGAGAGAAGCATCCGATTCTGCGAGCGAGGATCGTGGTCCTTCGCCTGTAGAACTCAGTCGATCGGTTGCCAGAATCCGAGAAGAGCCGCGTCGACGACGGTGTCTACGCCGGAGCTGAAATACTCCTGTTTGCCGTCTCGATTCCAGCTTATTCCGGTGCTCAGGAACGAAATTCGGGACATCGATCTCCTTCAACACCCTTAATTTCGAGATTATCTCGAATAGCTCGGATCGAAGGTCACGAGTAAACATGCGGCTCCTCACGAGGTCCAAGTGGTAATCACTATCCCTCGCCACGCGTGACGGATCGACGGGCCGTGCATTCGTTCTGTGCTGACGCATGTGAATTATAGACATTGCAACTTGATTGGTTCCTCGCTAATAGTGAACGAGCACCACCGTCCCAAGGAAACGGACGGGAGTCTACTCCATTGGCTCAGCCAGTCCTAGTCCTCCGACGCTGCTGGGACTCCGAGAGTGCGACCGGAACGGAGCTTGCATGAGTAAACAATTCGACAGTTGTTCAGCGTAAGCCTCTCGAGTGGTCTCGGCCATACAATCGCTTGCCGGTCAAAGGCATGTGCAATGAGTTATGTCGTGTCTCTCCGTAAAGCTCTTGTCAGCGGAGGGATCCCCAATGCAGAATTTTGCTGCTCTGGATTAAACGCGGGTCTGGAAATCGAACGATTGGAACTTGAGAGCTCAGCTCGAATATCTGATCGCCAGAGCCTCGAGGGAGAACCAGTCCCAGCAGGTTCTTAAATGATTCAGATATCAAGCTTTCAGATTCCCTATGATCGTGGTTCGTCGCGGAGTCGCACGGTAAGAGCCGGGGAGCGATTCTGCTCTCGATTCAGCGGCAGGTTCTCTCCGGGGTCGCGTCGTTCTAAGCACTCTGCGGAGCGTCGCATCCGCGGCGTGGAGGCCGTGTGCACTTCGGTCGAGCCGAATTTATTCATCCGTTTTATCCGCTGCGCCATAGCTAGCAGCAGCGAATTTCTCGTGTTTGTTGGGCGAGTTTCCCTGATGTCAAGCATTCCGTAAGGCAGACTTTGTCACGAACGCACGGTTGGTAGCTTCGATCCCCTTGCGAAAACCCTGTGGGACGCCACCGGATCCGATCCCCCGCGCCCATATTGTAGGGCAGCTTGAGTGCCCGGCAGAATCGCCCTTCGAGGACGGTCAATTAATTCGCGAATCGATGGAGCGAGCGGCACCATTCTGAACGCAAGCGAGATGCCCGCGATGACTGTGGACATGGACGCTTTTCCGGAGACACCGTTTCCCTCGGAATAGAGGGTCAGCGTTCGATTGCGCAGTCGAATTGAGTAAGTGTCCTCGTCATCTGACCACCCAGGCCTTCAGCGCAGCTCGTCGGCGAGCAGACTACTAAAAATTGCTCACTCTCGTGGACTCATTCCGGGACAGCATTCTCGAATTCTACCTTGGAACCTAATCTCACCTTTTTGTTGGGTCAATCCCAGGTGGAACCGGCAGAGAAAGCCCAGGGGAGACTCAACGTAATCGTCTCAATTCTCGGACTCATCCGGGTGGATGCGATTCGGAGAGTTGCAGTTGCGGCGAATGCTATTCATACGCATGCGATTTAGGTGGTCGCTCGGGCTAAACATACCAGTCAATACGGCGCCGATCGGAGAGCAGGCACAGGAGCTTTGCGGGCCAACGGAGATCCGGCGTTCAGATATTCGAAACGATCCTCCGCTCTTGACTCCCTGTTTAAGTCTGAACTCAGCTACGATTTCTTGAGAGAATATTTTGTTCGAAGCTTTAGGTCATCGCAATTTACCGCGTGACCGAGAACTAGATGAGAGCCGTCGACTTTGCAAGTAATCATGAGGAGCGATCGGGAACGTCTTGCGATCATCATTGGCGCCTCGGCTAAACAAGGAACGGTCTCGTTTGGGGGGAGTCCGGAACTTCTAGGGGAGCTGATTCGCATTTCGCGACTGTTCGATAATTTTTCAAAGTCGTCCATCCTTGACCGATCCTCCGGATCCGGAAAGGTCAAATCGCGAATGGATTGATGGTTCTATGCAGGATGTGCGGGCATCCTTCTGATCGAGAAGCGAATCCGGTCATATTGAATGAATGAATTTTTAGCTTCCGGAGAATATGTGACATATTCTGCGACGTCTCCCGTTGGTAGGCGGAGGACTCACCTCATCATGTAGATCCAACGAAGCTAAAGGTGTCCTCTAGAGACCTATGGCTAGAATTATTCTCATCTTGATGCGAACCGCGCTTCCTCCAGCCTCAGTCTGGACTAGATCCTACTGGTCTGATCGTGAGGAGAGCTGAATCATTCCGTCTGGTGAGAAAACGGACTCAATGAGCCGTACTACAGACTGCTTTCGTGGCTCGAGGGAATGACCTCAGTAAGAGGATGGCCCTGTTTCTTCCGGGTGCCCCTCTGAGGACGCTCAACAACGGCTCGAAATTGTTTACACAACTTCACATCATGGATCATGACAGGGAAGCCCAGAGATAGTAGTGTGTCGTTATGAGGTACACAGGTACATTCAAAACGAGCAGAGATCGGAAGGTATCAGTGAGGCCGGGGTCAAGCAACGCCTGAGGCTTCCCATCACAGTCTTTTTTCAGAGTCAGAATTCAATCGATTGGAGCTTCGCTGACCGCCATGCTGTCGGGGAGACCGAATCAGAAAAATAAATATCAAAATACTGCGCGGGAGAAACTCCGAAGTCGTAACTCAGAGAAAACGAGGCTCGAGATCGGTGATCGAACCCGATACTCCAACTACGACAGCTAAACGCGCCGAAGCGCCGGCTACGACAATGTGCGCGAGTCCTTCCGCTCGTACATCTGAATACGCTGCTGAAAAAGGCACTTCCGGCGCCGCTCGAGAAACGGATCACAAGATAGAAGAACTATTCAGGATGATGGATGTGGCCGGTCGCGGTCGTCTGGACAAGCCCGAGCTCGTGGAAGGAATGAAATACTACAATGGAATCTCTTTGAAGACAGAAACCATCGTTCTTCTGGCAGGCATGTATGGGTCAGAAGCCACAGGGGGACTCACTCTGGAAGATTTCAAACGGCTGCATCACACCTTGATGACCTGGTCGAGTCTTTTCCGACGTCACGATGTTGATTCCCAAGAGTACCTGCTGCATCACTCGCTGTGTTCGGCTCTGCACGAGCTCGGATATAAACTGGACCGAACAACGACCCGATCTCTCACCAGGAAACTTGGACGTCAGGCGAAATACATTCAGGAAGACGCGTTCGTACGGATATGCTGCCTCTTGAGAAGGTTATCCACGGCGTTCAAGAAAAAGGATTTGAACCGACAGAAAAATATCCAGCTCAGCTACTACGAAGTCTTGCACATGGCGCTCGATTCGTGCTTCTGATCCACCAGTTCGTCGTCCATCCAAAACATTCGAATCGAAGTTTTTCTCACCAAATTTGACCAGATCGGAGCCGGGGATGCTGTCCGCCCTTCTAGATCCGAAGCTAATCGTGAGTAACTTCCATAGAGATTAAAGCAGCTCGAAAATCTCCGCGTCGATAACGCTCGATGGCCCTCTCTGAGAAATTAAAATCCACATGCGAGCCCGAAGCCGTGTCGATCCCTCGATTCGACATGACATCCGTCCACTTGAAGCCCGAACACAGCTCCCGCTCCCGAGACAATCGAAGACCAATGACGCGGGAGCACTCTATCGGAGCTCAGCTGCGGAATACTTTCGGGGACACTCATGATCCGGGAGATTGCACCGACTCCGCTCGCGTATTACCTGACACATGATCTCTGGCTTGAAGGTCAAGCAGGAGATGGAGCTCGCAGCGTAGGACGGGAAACGAGGTAGAAATGGATGAACGGCGGACGGGCAGCGATAGATTGGTTCACACTCACCCTCGCAAACAACTACTCTCTCATCGACCGATCCTTTCGATTTTATGTGATAGCTCTCTCGGACGAAACGCAATCTTAGCTCGCCGCAGGTCGCGAACACGGGGAAGGATCGAGTCGACTTTGTTGGGATCAGTCGGGCTCGCTGCTGTGGAGGGCTATAGGTCGTAAGGAAAACGCCAGAGAAACCTTCCCCATATTATTTGGCTTGCCTAATCAATACACGATCAGACCGCAGGGGATTATCGGAAAATGTTTGATTGACAACACCATTCGCGAGCTCCAATCAACTCGAGCTAGGAGCCGAGGTGACGTGGCAGGGAAGTCAGCGTCTGGAATAGCAGAGCATGAGGAAACCGATCCTTGCGGACTTGAAGACTATGCGTGACATAGCACTCATGTCAGACCCAGCTTATGAAGTCTCTAGAGATGGCAGCTCATATGAGTCAATTAGGACCCATTTCTTCCCGGAAAGTCCCGCGTCCCGTACCCCACATTCCTGACAGACCTCTAGCTCGGACGTCAAGGAGATGAAAGGAGGCCGAGATTAGAGGGTCATATTGGTCCTTGAGAAGCTCTCGTTTTCGTGGTCTGGGAAGGTCAAGGAATCATTCCAGGTCGCAACTGGGGGTTTCCGCTCATTTTACGCCGAACCAACAAGGTCAATGCTAGTGTTGTCGGAAATTCTGGGAAATCGTGGGAGCTCGTCGGAAACAAGGTATTCTTACATTCCTCAAGAAGTTTCCCAGCCGGAAGATGTATCATTGTGCGCGAAGGTACGACTCGAGAAATAATGATGGTCTCATCACCTAGGAGGTTCCCAAAAACATCGCCATCTGATCGTAGTTGATCCCTGCCGAAGAGCGTTCTCTCCACCGCCTTCATTATCGGTCACGAATTCTTACAATTTGCGGCTTCTCGACTTGCGGCTCCCTAATAGATTGGAAGGATGAACTGAGGACGGAGCTTCGGCATTGGAATTCCTCGCTCCGATGCGACAGAAATTCGGTGCAAACCCCGTCAAACTGCATTCCAATGTGGGGGGAACCCACATTCAGGACTCAGCGTTCCTGGGAGCAAGGGCGCTTCACGTCGGTCAGATTGACCGTAGCGAGATACCCACCATCAGCCTACTAAGTCAGTTTGAGGGTGGAATCTGCCTCGGCAACTATTGAGAGGGTTCAAGAATCGCGATGCTCTTTAAGTTGACTCCCTTGAGCTTCATGAAATCGAGTCAACTTTGTCCGACCCGGAGTATTCGAGCGACGGATTTCAGCCACAATCAGTGGAATCGCCTAGTTGTTCCATCTTGCTTGCTTTCTCCGCTCTCCCCTTGAAAATTTCAACGGCAGAGTTTGTTCGGCCACGGCCTGTGGAATCTTCTCGGGAATGTGTCCGAAGAGGGCAAAAATCACCGACGGTTCCCGTCGGGAGTAAATGTCTGATCCAGCGTAGACTCTCAACTCCCTAGTCAATGTTTATGAAGTCAATTCAGAGCGGCACGTTAGTTGTGCACCACTCTGGGCACTCGGCCAAGCGTGGGTGACACTTCTTCCGTATAGAGCGCTCGCTACAGAATATCCCATCCAACTTCATTGGGGAACACGGGTCGCTCGCCTTAATGGGATTTTCCATGGGCGACTATTATCATTTTTCTCGGAACAAAAAAGATCGATTTGCCTCGCTCTCGCGGATGATGCACGCCATCGACGGCTCCCTTTGTGGTTCTGTCACGTCTGCCGCCCCAGGCGAATGTGAGCGGGGCCGGGAGGTTGGCGTTAAACGTCAAACAAAGCTGACACCAACGATTCCAGACGTGGACGGCAGCGCATCCAAACGGATGATTGATTCGGTACGCATAGCGAAGAATCAGAAAACGATCCGAAATGCGTTATGCTCCGATGCCGGAGACATTTTTCCCGAAATCACGAGCATGGAATAGTTCTGAGGAAGACGAGACGACGAATTCGACATTCTTGCATTCTCGTCCCGAAATTTTCGAGTCGAAAATGAGGTCATCGAGTAGCTGTCAGCGTTGTTCCTCGCGTGTCTATGGGGCACAATTACAGTGGATTTTTTTTCCTCCACTCCGAAGCTAACTTGTCCCCATTCATCTGATTCCCTCGTTCCGCTGCTCCTCGTCAGAACTCCAATCGGATGACGCTCATTTTCGAGTCGATCCCAACTCCGCCCACGGTGTCTACAGTGTTAAACTACTCATAACGAGGCACTCGCCGCCAAGAGCTGACGGTGAGGGGAGCAGCAAAGTAGCATCGCAGTCCTCTCGATTGAGTCAATCATAGCGTGTGATGATGAGCTTACCAGGTCTCCCTCCCCCTACGAGCTGTTTCACTTACTTACTCCTGGCATGCGTTCTGATGATCCAACTATCATCCCCGCTTAACTAGCCCCGCCGTGGAGGTTTGCCTCGACAGTCGGGACGGCGAAGGTGAAGAGATGATGGCTCGCTCAGTTGCCTGCTGGTCAGTCGGCGTTGATCATAGTCAAGGGGAGGCATCACGAATGTTGGCGTCTCCCCTGACAAGAAGCATCGCCGCCCTCTCCGGGCGAATGTCTGCAATTGTTCGATAGTGTGACACCTCCCGTTTGCTGCTGCTGAAAGTCAGATAAGGACCGCGTTGCTGGTCCAGCTCTCAAGTAAATCTAACTATCACCGTCTCCACAGAAGGTACTCGCGGCCTCCATGTTTGATCGCCTTAACAGCTGCCGCTTCGTCTTGTTTCACCGCTACTTCTCATCTGTGCGTCTCACATTCCCCGCTACAAAGTGGCGGTGACCGTGAAAGCTGAGAGGTTCACTCACCGGGCCGACTCCGAGGTCTCGTTCAACTTGTTTGCTAACGTTTCAGAGGTTCTGTTCATTTTTCTGCAAGAAAATTCCGCCGACGAGCTCCTCTATCTTCTTTGGGCATGAGTCCGTCTCGTCCATTAGCTCGGACGCCGTGTTTGAACAGTGTGAGGGGGCTTTGAGTGAGTTCGGACACCAACTTGAGACCGGCCCAGAAGCACGTTGGAAAAAAATATTCTGTCGAGCGATGGCGGGACTAGCAGAGTTTACTTGATGTATCACGTCTTCTTTTTTAGAAATTCCAAGTTTACGCGAGTTGGAGGGAAAAACGACACACATACATGCAGACGAGAGACGCGAACCCTTCTGAAGATGGTCGCTAGAATGCAAAAATAGCTCTGAGACGAAATTATATCGTTGTTGGCCGCCGACACGACATTCGAATTGATGGTCGGTTTCGCTCTGTCGTCGTAAAGGAAACCGAGAGCAAGCGGGCGAGCGGACGAACGAAAGAGCGAACGAACGGAGGAAGAGGAACATGTTGAAAAGAACGATTTGAGTCAACGACTAAAAAGCGGAGTATTTGAACTCGGAGAAACTCATTTAGACCCCCGAAAGGTTCCTCCTTGTGCACGACGGATCTCCTGCTCCTCTCAGAGAACGGCGGTGGTCATGGCAGGGGGAAGCTTTAGGAACGATATTTTTCCCCAGTAGCGAGAACGGCTGGAGCCATCCCTGCGAAACCGAGTTTTTGCACTCGTCTCTTTTTCTTTTCCGCTTTCCCGTTTCAATTTGTTTCAAGTTCCGGTCGGAATCATGATGATCGGCGACGCAGTCTTCCCCGTCTCCTTTCGCCGCAGTGTTCCATCCGCAATGACCATTCTTTGTTCTCCAACACGAGGGAACCGTATTTCTTGGTGCTCGTCCCGGATCCATCAAATCCCTTCGAATTCGCTATCGGAGCGGCTCTCGCACTTCACGAAAACTCGTCATATCAAAATTTGAAAGTCAGCGTAGCTTCGTATCAATACCGTAGTCAGCTCGATGCATTTATCTGGAATGATTTATCGATGCATTCTTCTGGATTCGACTTTACGGACCCAGCTGTCTCGGAGAATTTTGCGTAAACACCCCCAGATATCCACACCTTCCGTTTCACAGCGCACGCTCTATGCAGGGATGACACGCTCCTCGAACTCAAGAGTGCTGAGTCAGCGATTTCTGTAGCCAGTTCCTTATCGCAGTCAGATGAGAATTCAGCAGAGTCAGCGCCAGAATCAGACAAAACCGCAACACAGAGAAGACGGAAGGCTTGAGATTTCTGAGACATTTCCTCGGAAGTCTCCGAGGGGTCGGAACTCCGAAGTCCTCTTTGGGACAGCAGCGTGGTCTCGCTCGGGAGCCGAAAAAACTTCCACCGTGTCATCTCGAGAAGCGCTCAGTCGAAGCTTGAACATTGTTCTTATCGACTGTGTATCGAAAGCGTTTTTTTTTTCGAAGAATGAAGAATGCGAAGCACGACATCATCGCTGCAGGAGAAGAGGCACGTGGCGCGAGCATCGCGATCTCGACGACGACTTAAAAGGAGTATGAGAGATTCGCAAAGAGATCCGCAACATGAACGGTCGGCGGAATGAATATCTAGCGTCATATGAATTATTGCGATTCCGTAGAGAGTTCCGGGAGAGG